GGTCTATAGTGCCTAGCCCTGCGGAATATATGCAGTATCGTGTATGTAAAGAAAAACATTTTAATGATGATTATTTAATTTAACTAATAAAAAATCATGGACAAGTACAGGTGGTTTAATATATTTATCATCATCATCATTCAGCCTACGACGCCCACTGCTGGGCATAGGCCTCCCCCAACGATCTCCACGACGATCGGTCCTGCGCTGCCCGCATCCATCGGCTTCCCGCGACCTCCACCAGATCGTCGGTCCACCTGGTGGAGGGCCTACCCACTGAGCGTCGTCCGGTGCGCGGTCGCCATTGAAGAACCTTTCCGCTCCAACGGCCATCGGTTCTCCTAGCTATGTGCCCCGCCCACTGCCACTTCAGCTGAGCAATTCTTCGAGCTATGTCGGTTACCTTAGTTCTCCTACGGATTTCCTCATTTCTGATTCTATCACGCAGGGAAATACCGAGCATCGCTCTCTCCATTGCCCGCTGAGTGACCTTGAGCCTTCTTATGAGTCCCATAGTGAGGGACCACGTTTCTGAGCCATATGTGATCACTGGCAACACACACTGGTCAATGACTTTCGTCTTGAGACATTGAGGTAATTCGGACGCAAAGATTTTTTGGAGTTTCCCGAACGCTGCCCATCCGAGCTGGATTCGACGAGAGATCTCTTTCTCAAAGTTGAACTTACCTAACTGGACTGTCTGCCCCAGGTATACGTAATGGTCAACAACTTCGAGTGTAATGCTCCCAATTTTAACTGGAGCGGGTACAACATGGACATTCGACATGATCTTCGTCTTGTCCATGTTCATCTTAAGACCCACTCTTTGGGAAACACTACTGAGATCTTCGAGCATTGTGTTCAGGTCTCCCAAGGTCTCAGCCATAAGAACTATATCATCGGCAAATCGAAGGTGTGTTAAGTACTCGCCATTGATGTTGATGCCAAGTCCTTTCCAGTCCAGAAGCTTGAAAATATCCTCCAACGCAGCAGTGAACATCTTTGGAGATATCACATCTCCCTGTCTCACGCCTCGTTGCAGTTGAATAGGATTAGAGCTCTGATCCTGTAATCGGACTGACATAGTGGCATTTTTGTATAAGTACCTTAACACCTCTATATACCTATAGTCTATTTGGCACCTTTGGAGAGACTGCAGCACCGCCCAGGTCTCGATCGAATCAAAGGCCTTCTCATAGTCCACAAACGCTAAGCAAAGTGGCCGGTTATACTCCTCGGTCTTCTGTATAACCTGCCGCAGCGTATGGATGTGGTCTATGGTACTAAAACCCTTTCGGAAACCGGCTTGTTCGGGAGGTTGGAAGTCGTCAAACCTGCGAGCAAGACGATTCGTGATAACTCTCGAAAACAACTTATAGATATGGCTCAGAAGCGAGATTGGCCGATAGTTCTTCAAGAGTGTTTTGTCACCCTTTTTGAAGAACAGAACGACCTCGCCTCTGCCCCATGCCTTCGGCGTTTGACCTTCGACGATGACAGAATTGAAAAGCTTCTGGAGGACTTTAAGTATCGGCTTGCCACCCGCTCTCAGAAGTTCTGTAGTGATTCCATCATCGCCCGCCGCTTTGTTGTTCTTGAGTTGTTTGAGAGCCACACTAATCTCATACAGGCTGACGTCCGGGATATCTTCGGTATAATGTCGGGTAAGCTTGGCTCTGGGGTCGCTAACCTCGCTTTCAACAGGTGCTTTCGTGGAGTATAGCTGTCGATAGAAACTCTCTATTTCCCTCAGGATTTCAGGCTTAGATGAAATGATGCTACCGTCATCAGTCTTTAGCTTCGTCAGTTGGCTTTGCCCAATAGACAGATCTCTCGCGAACACCTTGGAGCCTTTGTTCCGCTCAATGGCCTCTTTAATACGCTCTGTATTAAATTGGCGTATGTCGCTAGTCAAAGACTTCGATATCTGCCTACTTAGCCGCCTGTAGTGACTTGCATCCTCTGAGTTATGTAGCCTCATTTCATTTCTATGTTCCATGAGTTGAAATGTTTTGTCGGAGAGTTTCTTTATTCTGGTACGGTGGGTTTTGAAAAACTTGGACCCAACAGTACGGACAGTGTCCACCACCATGTTGTTTAGATCGTCCACATCTATGCAGTTTTCGAGGGCTTCGAAGCGGTTTCGAAGTTCGAGCTGAAAGCTCTCGGGGTTTTGGAGTTGTGCAGGTATTGGTCGGAGCGTAGACTCTATCAGTCGAGTTCTTTCCAGCCGGATATTGATATTCAATGTGCCTCGTACCAACCGGTGATCACTTCCTGTTTTAACGGTGTTGACCACAGAGACATCATTGAATATATGCTTTTTCGTCGACATGATAAAGTCAATCTCATTTTTTATTTTGCCGTCCGGACTCATCCAGGTCCACTTACGAGTTGGAGATTTCCTGAAAAAGGTGTTCATCATATAGAGGTTCTCCTTTTCCATGAAATCAACCAACATCCGGCCTCTGGCGTTTAATATATTGTATTTTATTAAATATATTATATTATGTTATGTTACGTTATGTTATGTTATGTTGTTATGTTGTTATGTTATGTTATGTTATGTTATGTTATGTTATGTTATGTTATGTGATGTGATGTGATGTTATGTTATGTTATGTTATGTTATGTTATGTTATGTTACGTTACGTTACGTTACGTTACGTTACGTTACGTTACGTTACGTTACGTTACGTTACGTTACGTTATGTTATGTTATGTTATGTTATGTTATGTTATGTTATGTTATGT